CGGAGACGTCCCCTAGGAGGGGGGGTACTGTCACGCCCCTGCCTGTGACCTGAGTCTTCCTTGTGTGGATGTGGGCGGAGTCTGCTGGGAGCACCTGCTCTCCATCTGCAATCAAGCCTGCTACAAAGGCCCAGCTCTCCAGCCAGACTCTGCCAGATTGTTTTCGTCTACCTGATGGTGATCTACCAGTCAGCTCAGTTTTTGTTCTACGTCGCTTCCTGTTACTTACCTGCATTTTTGTATTTCCTAGTTCCCGCTGTGGAAGACTCCGGCATTCCAGTTCCTGGCTCCTCGCTCCTCTACTGCCTATCCTGCCTCGTCAATAAACCTTTGTTTCCTTTTTGCATTTTTGCCCTCGTTCTGAGTCTGTTTTTGGGGTCCACTCCAGTGGTACACAACAATTAAGCCAGTAAAATTAGATTCTCAACCAAAAGCCCTCTAAATTAAATGACCGGTCATATTAAAGGAAGGAAAAATTAAGACACAAATAGAACTGAAACTAAAATCTATTGTTGAACTTAGCCTGAAACGTTAAGGGTGAAACAATACAGAGTTTTTAAAGGTACCTTATATAAATTAAGCACCTGCAGTACTTGTTAATTGGATGTCTGTCAACTGTTATTAAAGTTTGCCGGCTTTCCATTCAAAATTATTCTGACTGCGACTTTTACATGCCACTCACCACTCCTACGAACCTATAACTGGTCCAGTAGCTTATTTCCCTACTAGCATAGGTGCTACAAATTCTTGGCGAGCCAGCCAGGAGTGGTTCGTGTATGTTAGTGAGCCCAGATTTACCTGAAATAGAACAGATATGGAAGCCGTGCAACAGAGCAACGTTAAGATGTTTAAGACTGGTTTAACTGGCACTGAGGTAGATGAGGAGCTCATTGATTTCCTTAAACAGTATGGGTCCATCCAGGCCATAGTACTTGTAGATTCTTCCCACCCAGAGAAGGGCAAGCAGTCCATTATTGAGTATGCATCAGGTGCATCAGTACAGGCCCTGTCTAACTTGCTACCTCACAGATTCTCACCCAAAGACAAACCTAGCATTCTTTACCTTGTTGAAGCATTGAGTTCAGTTTACACCCCTGTAGTTAGCAAGACCGCTACTCAGACTTATCTGACTGAACTGAGAGACATAGCAAAACTGACAGGCAGAGACTTTGCAGATGTACTGAGAGACGACCTTTCCTCCATTAGTCAAGCTGTTGATGCTGATGACTATGACAACACAAACGACCATGGTGACTCACCCCAAGTCCCTCATTCCAATGTGCCTCTCAGTCCAATGCGAGATAACCCACCAACTGTTGAACCGATCCACCAACAGATCCATGCTGCTGTTAACAGTCCTCCACCTGTGCTGATCAATACAAAGACATCCACTCTAACACCTTCAGATGTCAATCCACCAGAGCTCCAAAAAGTGATAGTGGAGCATGTGCTAAGATCTGAAGATTTTAACACACAGATGAACACTCCTTTCAGATTAAGACTGTTTTCTGGCCGTTGTCCTTGCCCAAACAATGAAGTAGACTATGAAAGTTGGCGATCAAGTGTTGAACTTCTTCTCAAAGACCCTAAACAACTTGATGCATCCAAATCCAGAAGACTCTTAGAAAGTCTCTCTTCGCCTGCTGTTGACTTTCTAAAGCACTTACCTACAGATTCACCTCCTTCTACATACCTGAAAATCCTTGAATCTGCCTTTGGTACAGTCGAAGATGGTGATGACCTTTTCGCAAAATACTTGAACACCATGCAAAATCATGGTGAAGAGCCTTCATCATATCTACAGGTCATGCTGAACACAACTTTCATAAGGGGTGACATCCCTTCAGGTGAACTTGACAAGCAGCTGCTAAAACAGTTCATAAGAGGCTGTTGGGATAATGATCTGATAGCGGAGCTTCGTTTTCTAAGTTAAAGGACATTTAAAAGAACTGTTCTGTTTTTGCTACGCATACTGTATCGTTTTGTTTGAATCTATGGCAATTTTGTAAACTTTAAAAGGACACAAGGTATAATTTTAAAAGTTTCAAAATTGATTTGAAAAGTGCACAGAGTGGATAAATTGATCCTAAATTAGAGATTAAACCTAAAATTAAGCCAGTAAAATTAGATTCTCAACCAAAAGCCCTCTAAATTAAATGACCGGTCATATTAAAGGAAGGAAAAATTAACACAAATAGAACTGAAACTAAAATCTATTGTTGAACTTAGTCTGAAACGTTAAGGGTGAAACAATACAGAGTCTTTAAAGGTACCTTATATAAATTAAGCACCTGCAGTACTTGTTAATTGTATGTCTGTCAACTGTTATTAAAATTTGCCGGCTTTCCATTCAAAATTATTCTGACTGCGACTTTTACATGCCACTCACCACTCCTACAAACCTATAACTGGACCAGTAGCTTATTTCCCTACTAGCATAGGTGCTACATAGAACCTATACACACAAGCACATTTAATCTGAAAATTATGCATAGCATGTTTAATCTAGAATTTACGAACAAGCATGTTTAAACTAGAACCTACACAAGCACGTTTAAACTAGAACCTACACACAAGCACAGGGTCGTTTAACCTAGAACCTACATGGTCAAACACAAATGTTGTCCGTGTCTTCACTGTCATTGTCACTGTCAGCATTTTTGTGTTTGACCATGTTTATTTGTTAAACGACATAGCGATATGGCACCTGTAATAGGAGCGTCTGGAACAGCGAACAGATCAAGTGGTTGAGCGCGTTCATGCGCTGCAGTAAAGCGCAACGTTTGTTACTTCAAACCAGGTCTTGATGGGAACATGTTCGGGATACATTTGGATTATTTTTCAATGGAGAAATAATACGTCACGATAAAGAAGGTTTAACGCGACAATACCGCTCCGGCAGTTTTGCGTCTCTCTATGGGAGTGAATGGAAGCGAGAGGACACGCCCCTCATGCTTCCAGGTGTGGCCCCGCCTTTACCAGTTACGCTGATCGCCAGACAATCCGGACAGGGGACTCAGCGCTGCGCTGCGCAGCATCCGGCGTCAATGAATTAATTTAGAACCTACATATAAGAATGTTTAGTCTCGAACCTACACACAAGCATGTTTAATCTAGAACCTACACACAAGCATGTTTAATCTAGAACCTACACACAAGCATGTTTAAACTAGAACCTACACACAAGCATGTTTAATCTAGAACCTACACACAAGCATGTTTAATCTAGAACCTACACACAAGCATGTTTAACCTAGAACCTACACACAAGCATATTTAACCTAGAACCTACACACAAGCATGTTTAAACTAGAACCTACACACAAGGATGTTTAAACTAGAGCCTACGCACAAGCATATTTAACCTAGAACCTACACACAAGCATGTTTAAACTAGAACCTACACACAAGGATGTTTAAACTAGAGCCTACGCACAAGCATATTTAACCTAGAACCTACACACAAGCATGTTTAAACTAGAACCTACACACAAGGATGTTTAAACTAGAACCTTCACACAAGCATGTTTAACCTAGAACCTACGCACAAGCATGTGTAAAATAGAATTTACGCCAAGCACATTTAATCTAGAACCTACACACAGGGATTTTTAATCTAGAACCTACACACAAGCACATTTAATCTCGAACATATGCATAAAAACATTTAATCTAGAACCTACGCACAAGCACGTTTAAACTAGAACCTACGCACAAGCATGTTTAAACTAGAACCTACACACAGGGACGTTTAATCTAGAACCTACGCAAAGAAGATTTAATCTAGAACCTACACACAAGCACATTTAATTCAGAAACTACGCACAAGCACGTTTAAACTAGAACCTTCGCACAGGGTCGTTTAACCTAGAACCTATATGCACAAGCACATTTAATCTTAAATTTATGCATAGCATGTTTAATCTAGAACCTACGCATAAGCATGTTTAAACTAGAACCTACACAAGCACGTTTAAACTAGAATCTAAGCACAAGCATGTTTAATCTAGAACCTATGCACAAGCATGTGTAAGATAGAACCTCCACAAAGCACATTTAATCTAGAACCTACGCATAAGAAAATTTAATCTAGAACCTACACACAGGGATTTTTAAACTAGAACCTACGCAAAGCACATTTAATCTAGAACCTTTGACAGAGAACCTGTACAAAGGCAAGCATTACAGAGATCATCTGGTCATTATGTGCCATCATAGTAGTCTGAATGACACATGTTGTGTATGTGTATGTAGTATGTTAAAGTGATAGAGTGTCAATTTCCGGAGGTATATTTCATGGAAATGAAAAGTTAAAACCATACTGCAACATTCTCCACAGAGATTGATATGATGTTTTATACCATACATAAACAAACAGGAGGAAGTCTTCCTCCAGGTCAAGTAAGTTTGTAGAGATGCTCACAGTAAGCAAGTTTTTCAGTGCAATAAAAACATCCATAATGAAAGAAAAATATATATATATTTAAGTTTATTTTTGGCAAAAAACAAAACAAAAACAAAAAAAAAACCCACAAATACTATGGCTTTATTTTGAAAAGGGGACGTGTGTGTATGCTAATGTCCGTCTATCAATAACGTAATTCTGTCCTGCATTTGAGGCTTTTTTGCTCAAAAACCCTGTAGCTCCTCCACTGTGCATAGGTAGATCATACACATTGGGTTCAGATATGTCATGTAGACATTTTCTAACAATAAAAACAAATCCATTAATGCAATTTTGAACATTAAGTCAATGGTTCTGTTTCTGTTATTAGTGTAAAATATAAAAGAATCATATATCTATGTTATACATATAGGCTCTATAGGTGCAGTGGGTACAATGGTTGGTTTTGTGTAGTGGCTGGACGGGTGCTGTGGGTGTGGTGTGCAGTAGTGGGTTGGTGTGATGGGCATTGCTGTGGGTGTGGTGTGCAATAGTCAGTATGAATGGTTGGTAGATCCTGTTTTCCATGTTTTTTGGTGGTCAGAGAAGGACCTACTTGCTTGGCTTCTCCACGGTGCAGTAACTGGTGAAGGCCTGCAGTTGATGCTGAACACCGCTCAGAGAGTTGGCAAACTTCTGGTTACTGATGATGGAAATGGTCTTCTCGATCCAGTCCAGCAGCTCGGATGCCAGCGCCTCATACCGCTGGATGACGTTCTCTGCCTCGATGCATTTGTCAAGCACCTGCACACAGGCAGAAGAGAGCAGACAATGGAGAAGAGACAAAATTTGTGAGAGAAATTATTAGAATACTTAAAACAACACTGTGTTTTTCTGAAGGTGGCATGTAACTTGCATGACTGCATGGAAAGAGAAGGTTAAAAACATACACTACCAGTCAAACATTTGGACACACCTTCTTTTCAATTGTATTTTTTCTTTAACTTCAGCACTTTCTACATTTTATACACACACAGAAGATACCAAATACATGAAGAAAAATATATGAAATTATGTAGTAAAGGAAAAAAGTTAAATAATTCACATGAAATGGTGTTCACTTCATGGTTGTGCCTCCTCAGGGTCAAGAAATGCCCAAAGTAAAAACCAGAGTTAAAAGCAAAGAGTGGCTATTTTTTTTAAATCTTAAATCTAAAACCAGTTTTGAGTTTGAGAAGTTGTTTATTATATTCTTCATGTGTCCATTCATAGTTCTGTGAGAGTGAGAATCTACAATGTAAATAATCATGGAAACAAAGAAGGAACATAAATGAAAAAATGTGTCTGAACCTTTGACTGGTCATGTACACTGGAACATTCTATGCCATACTGTGTAATATTATGGCCAAAGAGAAGAGCCATTTCCATGGAAACAAGAAGAAGGTCCTACACCAGGCTAAATAACAGTCAGGTTTGTGGAGATGCAAGCCTGCTCTCTTTAAGCAAGCATGCTTCTGTAAAATGTATAAAATAAGCAATAAAAACATCCAAAATGAAACAAACAAACAAATATGATGTTAGTGTTGTGTCCATCATGTCTCCAAACAGCACAATACACATGTCCCCCTTTAAACAGACCGACTGACTGAGGACAAGTTTGAAGAACCTGTGATGCAGATTAGAGACACACCGAAGTTTAACATGTCCCTATTGTTCAGTTACTTACAATCTTTTCTAGAGGCACCGTCATTTTTGTCCAGGCCAGTTTCATTAGTTTTTTTGTTTTTATTCTGTTGAACAACAAATCAAAAGCAGTGTCTGATTTTCATTGGCTATTTTTCAGTACATTTTTTTTTATTATTGCTTTTCTTAGTTACAAGTTATTTCAGTGAAAATTGTTGATTTTTCTTTCATTACCAGAGGGGTACCAACTATTTTGTCCACATCTATATGTATGTCACTTTGTACATGCTTCTGATGTTCCTGATGAGAACAGAGATTGGATTTGCATTCTTGCAGAGGAATACTTTTACTACACAGTGAGTGCTGTACCTTGCCAACGCGCTTGCCCTCCACAATCAGAGCCTTCATCTTGGAGAAATAGTGATAGTAGGAGACCACGTATGTGATGATGGACTTCTCATCAGGGTTCTCCGTGTTCACATCTGCCCAAAAAACACACACATGATGTAACATGTACAACATCATCCAGCTGTTTACTGCTGTCCATGAACCCAGCTCAAGATCTCAGAATTCCACTGGTCCTGTTCGATCACCAAGGGATTTGAAGAATGGGTCAAATGCACACAGGAACAGGATGAAGGTAGTGAAGTATACCTTAGCCTGCCCCACACTGGTCCGTTTTATCTTGGCCTACATAATCAGAGGTACAATACTCCCTTCAATGAAAGAATAGTCTGCCTAAAATTGTAAAAAAGAAATACCCTCCATGTATAACATTTGTTACTAGCCTTGATGAGTTGATCAGGACAAAGAGAGCAGTTTAATTTAGCACACACATATTTTGGTACCCACCTTCATGCTGTAGACCCAGGACCCAGAACCAAGAAAGTTTAAGGAGATAATAAGACTCCTGGAATAGTATGCTGCATCTGTACTGACAGAGGAAATGCCTGAGAGGTTCTGGTTCTCTCCTGGAGCTAGGTGAAGTCCAGGGACTCCTCAGCGATGGTGATGAATGGACAGTAAAGGATGGACAGTGGACAGTAAAGAGTGAGAGCTTCTGGTCTTTTCTTCAGGTTCCAGGAGCTTGGTCAGAGATGGTGCAGAGTGGACAGTGACGGACAGTGGAGTGGACACTGGCCAACTAAGAGTGGACAGCGGTGGACAGTGGACAGTACAGGATGAGTGCTTCTGGTCATACCTTCAGGATCCAGGAGCTTGGTGAGTCCCAGGTGCTGCTCTGCGATGGTGAAGGCCTGCTGCAAGTTGTGGGTGGCGTTGGAGCGGGTCAGTTTGTGGAAGTCCATCAGATCCGGTCTGCACACACAACACATCATGTTTGGGCCTCGCTAATGGGACCAAAGTATCAAGCTACATGCAGAGTCATGTGACCTGCCTGTCTACATGGGCACAAGCTGGTTTTCCAGTGCTAAGTGCTGGACATGTGAACTTTGTGAGACTGACTTTTTGTTCTGTTGGGAATCTGTCTGAGCCAACTGCAAGCCTTTTTCTTCAATAAATGAAATGTTATCACATGAACAAGGTCAGTGGACATGGACAGTGGACAGGGACAGTGGACAGGGACAGTAAACAGTAGAGCAAAGATGCACCTGTGTCTGTGGATGAGGGCGTTGAATGCCAGTCCATCTCTCCAACATGTGGTGAAGTTCTGGATGTTGACCTCGGGATACCTGGAGTATAAGAGCCCACAGTGCATCAGACTAAAGTTGTCAAAATCAGATACAAATCTATACTAGAACAAAAAATGATTGAAGCTAGACACTAATTTGAGCAGCGACACTAAAAGTCACATTAAAAGGATAATTTGTACTTTCCTGAACAGTTTTAGTATGATTTTGAGCTTTATCAAGACATGTGTGGTGACATGTGGACTGACCCGGCTGTCTTCATTTGGCACCACAGTAGCAGGGCGTCTTTGGCCGAGCGTGTCTCTCTGTTGTCCTCTGTGGCGATGCGGATCACCTGGATCTGAGAGACATTGGACTCACATTAGACCAGGACCAAACCAGAACTAGACCAGGATCAGACTGGGACCTAGGGCTGGGTGACATGGTGATAAAAACTGAATTGTGATCTCATTCCTGTGACGTTATGCTATTCTTACACTATATCTTGATTCACTAACTTTCTCAAACACAGTCACTTTTTTCCAACCCACACCTCCTGTTCATCACTCCTGCCAATGAGTGAGTGACAGGTAGATTTGACCAACTTCTATGAAGTGTGAAGCAGATGACTTTAGTTGTCTCTACAAGGCAATATAAAGATACCAGTTTATGAAAAGTGATAAAATGGAAACTGTGATATTACTTTTAGTACTTTGTGGCTGATGGCATCTACATTTCCTGGGGGTGTGGTACTAACTGAAGGCACTACTGTGTCAGAAGCTCTGTTAGACTTTAATCTGAGCTTTGTTTTAACACAATCTGACACGAAAGAGCTGACTTAGCTGCACAACAGGTGAGTTGCTTTGTGCTGTTAAACAAGTCTCTCACACATAAAATCACAGTCACTAGATAGCCATCTTTAGCCAACTGTTTTTCAGTTACAGTTTCAGTCATTCTCACATTTTTGTAGAAAATCACTTAAACAGGAACATGAACCCACATATTGATCACAGGCTCCTGTTTTGTTTTTTTTCTTGAGCTTTCAGACTATCTTAAACCTTTTTTGACAGTGTTTACTGCTGAACACATCACCATACAGGCAGAACACCTCCAGTGTAATATAAAGTATCAATAGTATATTACACCATTTGCATAACAAATCTGCACAATCTTAGCACTTTAATGCTGCCTCTGAAATAATGAGCTGCACACTGTAATAACTGATCACATGTCCTGCTCTCTGAGGCCCCGCCCTCTCTCCATTTCCATGTTTTGCTGCAGTCCTGGATTCTTCTGCTGACAGAGCAGCTGCGCTCACTCCAACTGTAGCACAAACACAGTTCTGCCTCCACCCTACGCACTACCCACTGCCCACTGCACTACCCACTGCCCCCTGTACTGCCTGTTGTCCACTGCACTACCTGCTGCCCCCTATATGTGCTGCCCACTGCCCCCTGTACTGCCCAATTTCCACTGCACTGCCCATTGTCCACTGTACTGCCCACTGTCCATTGTACTGCCCACTGTACTGCCCACTGTCCATTGTACTGCCCACTGTACTGCCCACTATATTGCCCACTGCATTGCTCGCTACACTGGCCACTATAATGCCCAGTATACTGCCCAGTGCACTGCCCACTGAGTGGACAGTGGATTAAACTATTCATTGTGAACATCAAACAGATGATGAACATGGTCTGACTTAGAACTGCAAATTGTTCAAAAGTCACATTTTGACAGAGAGTCAGAAAAGGACTTCTAATCATAAACTAAATCTTCACATGCACATACAAACAAACAAACTCTGTGGGTTTGAGATGGGGCGTCTCCCAAAGGTGCTACTTACTGATACACTTTACAGAAGGTTCACTTCACTGTTCACTCTTTTAACTAAGATGATGTCACATTTGGACTTGTACTGGAGGACAAACCAAAAAGACTTTAGAACGAATTATTATTATGGCAACTTTTTTCATTCACAAATGTAAACTCTTATTTCATGTCTCACTGAACTGTCCTCCCTGAGAAATTAACGGAAGTTCTGCAAATCCAAGAAAGCATTTTTGGCTTTACAATAATATTGTTGCATGACCTTTTATCCTTATAGCACCTTAATTAAGCGTCCTTTATTACGCATCAGAGACATATATGGAGTTGTGTTTTGTTTCATTCACACATTTGATTATTAGTCTGTCAACACCTCTAAAACTCAAAATGCTCTCTCCCACCTAGTGATGAAGTTTCCAAATAAACAGCTCCTTTTACCATTAGTTCGGGCTGAAATTATCCAAATGATTCTAGTAAAGGTGTATGGAGCTTAAAAACACAGTGGAGCACTTCCTGTATTACCACATGATATCACAGGGCTGTTTGTGATGAGGAAACAATGTTAGAACATAGATCAGAAAATAAATTAACATGGGCTTTTTAACAGTTTTTATATATTTTGTTTACAGTTATTTTTTATTTTGTTCAGCTTTGACATATTTAGTTGACTATTTTATAACCCTGTATGGTTTGATTAGAAGAACTGTGAGAGCTGGCACTGAAGCAGATGTGAGTGTGACCTGGAAGCGTAGGATGATGGTCCAGATGAGGCCCAGCGTGAGCCTGTGGTTTCCGTCGACGATGTCGTGAGAGCCCACGTTCTCCAGGTGCACGCGCTGCTCTTTGAGGAACTGCAGAGCTTTGTCCACGTTCTCCAGACAGTGGATTCTCATGCGGCCGCGCGTTGGGCGGGGCTGAGCAACACACAACATCACACATGGTTAGGACAACAGTGTGTGTGTCTCACCAGCACCCACGGACGTGTGTGTACCTGGTGTGGACAAACACACATGTTGGGTTTCCATGCTACTGGAGGAAACCTGCATATGTGTGAGTGTGTGTGTGTGTGTGTGTGTGTGGACATGGGCAGTGGTATAGTGGGGATTTTTTAAGTGGGGGTATGCAAATTTCGATGTCATTGATGTGATGAATAGTCTAAACCAAGACTAAAACAAGACTAAACCAGGACAAAACCAGAACTGAACAAGAACTGAACCAGGACAAACCAGGACTAAACCAGGTCTAAACCAGGACAAACCTGGACTAATCTTGAGTCTGTGGAGCAGGGTGTCCGCAAAGTGCAAGCGGGCGATGACTGCTCTTAGCCTCGTGGGGTGTGGAGCTCTGCATCAGTCCTTTCATCTGCTGTCACCTGATGGCCTACACAGGCGCACCTCCAGGCCCGTCCTGACACTCAGTCCTGGTTCAGTCCTGGTTTAGTCCTGGTTCAGTCCTGGTTCAGTCCTGGTTCAGTCCTGGTTTAGTCCTGGTTCAGTCCTGGTTCAGTCCTGGTTCAGTCCTGGTTCAGTCCTGGTTTAGTCCTGGTTCAGTCCTGGTCCCTCATGTCTCAGGTCACTATAGGACAGTAGTGCAGATATCATGAGCCTATGCAGGTTGTTTTCACCAATGCCAGTAGCTCCGGTTTGACATTTAAGTTGAAGCTATTTTATAATTTTTTTATTTTTTTATATCTCATGTTGGAAGTGAGTGGACAGTGAACGGGTGCGTACCACGCCCACTACACCCCTAGACATGAGGGTGTGTATGAAATTGTGTAGAAATGAGCTGGTGTATGTCTGTGTCTGTGTGTGTGAACGTGTGTGTGTGATTGTACATGTATGCTGGCATGCTCATTGACGGTTGCGTGGGCATGAGTGTGGCTGTGGTATGTGGACCAGTGTGTGGACATAGGATGGACATAAGATGGACATCAGAGGGAGACTCACCAACAGCTCTCCGCTCAGCACCTCCAGCAGCCTGGTGAGCATATATCCGTCGCGCAGGTCGGTGTACAGGTCAGATATGCGGCAGGACACGCGGCTCAAGTGAGAGTTCACCCATTTGGTGAAGGTTTTCTTCTGCACAGCGTCCCGTTCATCTGAGCACACACCACACACTCTTTTAACGGGACACTATGGAACTGTTTGGTGATTGGTTCCCACCTGCTTGACTACATGGAGACCTGGCCTGGAAATGTTACTCATTTGGTGGCCCAAGTTGCAGGCCAAGTCATAGGTCAGATCTGTGGTGAGTAATAAAACACAGGTAATGAAACAAATGCAAGATAAACATGTATAAAGTCGTATAATGGTACATGAAGGTGTGTGGACTTCAAAGCGCCTACATTATAGTATTTTCTGATCTATGCTATAATGTAGTTTCCTCATTACATACAGACCTGGAGCTGTATTTTGTTTCATTCACACATGTTTAACACACAAACCCTGCAGATTAAGACTGAATCCTTCTCTCAAACTGAATATATTGCCTTCCACCTTGTGATATCAGGTGATAACAGAGAAATTGCTCCATTGTGTTTTATAAACTCCCCACACCTTCACTAGAATCATTTGGATGATTTCAGCTATGGAATTTCCAATCTCTACAGAACTAAAAGATAACTGTTAACTTGAAAACCACAGCTTCATGACATCACAAGTTGAAAAAGAGCATTTTAAGCTTTGAAGATGTAGACAGACTAATAATAAAGAGTTACTCAAACATGAGTCTATGAAACAAAACACAACTCCAGGTCCGTTTTTGATGGGGCATTATACATTATAACATGACTTAATGCTCACAAGAATCCATTTTGTGTAATATACGACATTTAAAAACACAGAGGAGTTCTTGCTGGTTTTACTTGCTTACATAGAGAGTTGAACAGGATTAACATGTGTGTATGAAACTTAATAATCAGTATATAATTAATACTTAATATAGTGACGAAACCTGAGCCTATAAGAGGAGTAATGTGTAGTTGTGATGCATAGAGGTCACACTGAACTCTGTATCAGTAGGATTTGAAGTTATCTTCTCCATCAATACAAAAGAAAAGGAGACTTTTTCTTATTTTCAAATGTCCATCAGAATATGAGGATGGTAGATTGTAGTAGTAGACAATACTAAAGTGGGACTAAACTCCAAATCAGCTTGTTTTTTTTTTTGCAATTATACTGTGTACATGGTGTTTAAGTAGCATCTTCTTTACTGTTCCATTTTCTACTGTTCCCTCTGTTCACCCTTTCTCCCATTTCACTCTTCCCTTTAGTCCTCCAGACCCCGCCCCTGCTCCCCTCTCCCCTCACTCTCCCTTTTAGTCTTCCAGAAACCATCTTGGAGTATAGTCCCATGTTAATAAAGCGTGTTTGTGAACCTAACTCCTAACTAATATTAAGGGCTCAACATGTGGATTTTTTTTTGTTTATTGGTTGTTTTTTGAAAGAGAATCACCCAGAGAGTTAAATGATCCCCTGGTGTTCCTCTGGCATGTTGGGACTTTAAGATTCGTCATGCTAAGCATATGTGGCTTGTATGACTGCAGTCCGGACTCTCACCTGCCAGAGCCTTGATCCGCGAGCACTCGAAGAGCTTGGAGCTGGTGCACTCAGTTTCCCAGAATGCTGAGGAGAGCGGCCGGTTGTTGTTGTGGAGCTGCCGCTGGGCCTCGGCGTTGTCCAGGTCCGGAGACGCATTCGCCATCTCCACAGTCTGCACACAAGCACAAGACACTACAAACATTATTTCCCTTTACTCAGTATTTGCATTCACGTGATGCTCAATCTTCCCCTAAAGATGGTTTATTATTTTACTACCCCAAATGCTTTAAACAGCCTTTGGAGTTATATGCATATTTCTCCAACAGTCACATAAAGATCAGCCTCTAATACACCAAACATACACCAAACTCTATAATCTTGTACTTAATTTTGGTTGGATTGTACAGAAGAATTTGTTGATAACTAATTATAAGCCATTTTTTCAGATCTGCATATCCCAAATATGGTCAATCTTGGCCAATCTTTTTGATCAAAAACTGCACCAGGCTGTCCTCAAGCAGCCGCTTAGTAGTTGCAGCCCCACTCACAATATAATAGGCCTCCTGGTAAATCAGCTTTTACTCTAAAAATATGAATATGAATGTGATGGTCAAAGGCTGGGCACTTCAAAAGTAAAAATGTATCTCAGTTTGGAGTCTGACACATGTATGTTTCCGTTCAATTAAAACATGCACCAACCCCCCTCCTTAGAATTGCAGTTACTCTAAAATATAGAACCTACATGCTCTGTGGTTTCAGCACTTTGGGAACATGTTAACACTGAGTCGTCTGCACCCTCTGCTCTCACAACTAACTTCAAATGTTCTTTTACTACATCCATCCTGTTTCCCGCATCCTCAGCATCCTTCCATATGTCCACTGCCCCTCCTCTGTACTATATATCCCTCCTCTGTACCATATATTCACTGTCCCCCCTCTATAGACTACATGTCATCTGGGCTTTGACGCCAAAACATTTGGCACGAGTTGGATAGGCTTTCTAATAGGGAGTAGCCTGTGTTATGCTAGGTGCATTTGGGACCTTAAATCTTCCGTAGTAGAACGGCTTGGCTCTCACTGCAATCATACTCATACTTAATTATTACAGTCTATCTTTAAGGTGTCGGCTTCTGCGTGAGCCCGGGCCTAGCGCTTGCAGAACGGAGCCGGTTCCCGGGTGTAAGGGTCGCTGGGTCTCTGGGCTTTGGTTTAAATATAACTGACAAATATAATGGGATGTGGAGCGTATTTATGCTGACTGTAGCCTATGCTGTTTTAGGACACGCAGTCTCTTCGGTCCTGTGCCTCTTTAAAGGGCACAGTGTCAGCCGGTGCTCTGTAGCATCAACAGCCTGTCCACAGGCCGCTGCCGCTCTGGGCGCACGGACGGTAGGCCTAAACACGGAGATAATAACCCGATAATGCTAAAGCCATACCTTTGCTTGTGAGGTGAGACACGGAACTACCACTGCAGTGCGCCTGGGCACGGTCAGAGCATTAACACCTCCCCTGGAGGCTGGAGCGGACACAGTGAGTACCCTCCTCCATAAGCTCACCTTCAGGTCCCCGCGCTGCGCTCCGGACCCCTCCTCCTCAAGTGAGACGGTGTGGAGTCGGCTTTATCCCAGCGGCTCCTTGTAGCGCTCCTTCCCGCTGGTCAGCGCACACACTGCTGCAGCTGCCAGCTCGGAGCCTCGGGGCAGCGTGGACACCGGCCAGCACAGCGTATTCAGGGCCAGTGTCCGGCACCAGGACGCGGCGGAGGATGAGAGCCGCAGTGTAGTGCTCCTCCTCCGCTCTTCTGCCTGGCGCGGCGGTGATGAGGAGAAATGAGCGTCAGTGCGGAGAGCAGCGAGCGAGGACACTTCAGCACATGATCGCAAGAGGGCGCCGTTCTTCCTGAAGAGAATGTGAACATGAACACTCTGCACATCAGCGGCAAACTGTACGCACATAATACTGTAATGCCCCGTACTCAAAAGTAATGGACCAACCGACGTGAGCTCTTTAATGTGCTTTACTTTATAAAGTGCATCAAGAACAAGAGCCACCGTCAGAAACACTTTCAGCACTGAGCGCCTGAATCCTGGTCCTCCGCCCCGCTTCTCAAATCCAATCTACCTCTGCACTCACAGTGTCATGAACACATTCCAAACATCTACAGCGCCCCCATGACGCAACAGACACGGAACAGGTAAAAAAAGGATAAGAACACAATAACAAATATGATAATTCATAGAATAGGACTATATTTAATAGAAATAAGAAATAGAAAAAAAATACTAGTAGGTATATTGTTGGCCTCTACAATATAGTAACGGCAAAATACATGGTAAATAAAGATCAGTGTCCCGGGAGAACAGCCCACAGGAAGAGTCACACACACAAAAAACAATCTGTAGGAGCTATTTGCTTATTTTGTTGATTCTAAAAGTAGTTTATTATTTTTGTTTGTTTAGTTAACTGACTAATTTACTTTTGTTAATTTGTATAATATATTTTTGCTATGTTAATATTATTCTTGCTAATTTCTTAGTCTAAGTTGGTATTATTTACGTTAGCACCTCTTTTTTGTTTTTGATTTAATTTGGGTCACCTAGGGGATAAAAGAGGGTGGTACACGTAGACCAGAGTGCACCTGGGTGGGCTTATGGTTTTTTACCAGTCACCAGTATTCCTTGTTGCTTGCCAAAAATTGGAAAATAAATCTTGGAAAATCATCTCTAGTCATGGACATTGATTTGTACTGCGTAAACCACATACCTATGGTGCCCAAAGGTGATTATTTGAGTTATGTTTAGTTCTAAGTTTGCTCACGCTTTTGTTTGTTACTTTTATTTGACAGATAGTCACTACACAAACACATCCGCCGATTACCCAAAAGTTTAGTTCTTTGGTAATGCATGAGGCCGTTGTCCCAAGAGAAAGACACTCTCTCTTGCCTCTGTGCAGTTGGCTATATGAGTGCATAGTGTGAATGTCAAAAGAACAGCAGCCCGCGTAAAAGATCAGATCGGTCCCACAGCTGACAACTGCTACACTTGGAGAACTCCGTGGAGCGTGGTCCCTTTAAGAGTAGGGAAGGAGGGGCCCCGCCTAGCTTTCACCGTACGCAGCGCACTGAACTACTGAGACAAGCCGTGCGTAACCAGACGTTCTGACTTTTGCCCTCATCTCATCCCGGTTTGACAATGTCGGACACAATTAAAAATGTTGCCATTTTTGGAGCCACGGGTATGACCGGCCTGGCCACACTACCGCAGGTGGCCGCTGCAGGTGAGCGCGTCATGTTGTGCTTATGTATCATCATAGGTCATTACATTGACACAACAGTGGTCATGTGATGTGACAGAAGCGCACGGACTTCAAGCGCAGACATCACACGCAGATTTTTGCTGAGTCACGGTAAAGTAGATAGAGAAGCCAAAATATGTAGGCCTACTTCAATATATGCCTATAACTGCAACTGCAAAAAGTCCAGAAAGAGTAGGTAGAGTAGCCAAAAATTGCACTCAAATAAGAGTAACGTTACTCAAGTAGAAGTAAAAAAAAGTAGTGGTCCAAGAAATGACACAATGATACAAGTAAAATAAACTTTAAAAAGTAGCTTGCAGGATGCAGTTGATGTTATTTGAAGGACAAAACATTAAATAAGGAACTGAATGTGTTGATTTCAAAGGACAAAAAAAAAAAAAAAAAAAAAGCCTGAGTGAATAAACACAAATGTTTAAATAATTTTATTCTGTCAATGTAAAGCTTCTGTCACTTGACTTGAGTAACCTCAACTTTTACTCAAGTAAGAGTATTGTCACTTCAATAAAAATATGATTTAAATAGGAATAACAGTAAGCTGCAACAAAAGTAAAATATCTTTGGAAGCTGGAAGAAAACGTAATATTCTTTAAATGAGGCTCCTTTAAAGTTTGATCAAACTCTTCTTAAAAGTTCAGTTTGTTCAGTTACTCAAGTAAAAGTAATGAAGTAATAAATAAAGTGTCTGTTGGAGCATTGTTATCTGGAGCTCACAGAGAGGGTGGGTCTGACCACCCCCTCGTATCTACAGGACTGTGCTGCTCCCTCCACTCATCACAGTGTGTATCGTCCTAAAACAGAACAGTGAGGATCCCAGGGTCAGAAACTCTAAACTGTGCTCTAATTCAAATTGTCAGTCATAAATCAAGGTGTTGCAGTCTCTCAGTTCTAGGATTTTATTATGAACACTAAATATATACTGCTACTAAACTCTGCATATGATGGTTCAATAGCTTTATCTGCTGTAGTTGTGGGCTCACACTCACTCAACGACAGCCATCAGGTCTATTTCCTCTTCTCTGGCCATGATCCTTCACTGGGTGTTTAGTGCTAGCTATGAGCTTCCCTCACAGTGTTTCTTCTGGAAGATCTTGCTGCCACATATGGCAAATGTGACTCATCATTTTATTTAGATTATGAGGAATTATATGGAACAACAGCAGAAAGGAGAATGCATGGGCTGAGTCAGCTGTAGATCTGAAAGTGAATCATGACTTTAATCTGCCTTTTTTCATATGAATATATTGTTTCCTAGTCGTTTTTCTACATAAATAGTAGTTTTTGCACAAACTCCCCCTGCAGGTGCAGTCTTGTGAGTGCAGTTTGGGTCAAATGCATAGAAATATGGAATAGTTTGCCACACCCCCTTTTTGTCCACTATTCATGAGGCAGGACCTGTCATTAGTCAAGAATTAGTCAAGACTGCAGCCACAGGACTTGGATGATAAAAGCAGCCTGTAGTATTAGCTGATGCTGTAGTTGCAGTATTGTGACTTGTGTCTTTTGTGGCTCAGGGTACAGTGCCACGGTGCTGGTGCGAGACCCCTCCAGGCTGCCTGCAGACCACCGGGCGTCCCGTGTGGTGGTGGGAGACGTGCTGAACAAAGAGGATGTGAAGAAGACTCTGGAGGGTCAGGATGCAGTCATCATCATCCTTGGCACCAGGAACGACCTGAGTGAGGCCTTTTCACACACACTCTTTGGTTCCATGCTTCTTGGGGACATTGCTTTTTTTTTTTTTTTTTCTAATGTGATGTGTGTGTGTGTGTGCGCGTGTGTGCGTGCATGTAAGCAATAAAACAGGCAAAAAAAGAGGTAAAAAAAATCTCTCTCTCTCTCTCTCTCTCTCTCTCTCTCTCTCTCTCTCTATATATATATATATATATATTAATCTCATTTTTAATCTCTAACTTTACTGTTTCTGTATGCGAGTTGCTTTATTATAAAACCTGTTTTTATGTGTTGTTGGGACAACAACACACACACACACTCAAAAACACATTTATAAATTTTTTTATTTCGGTAATTCCACTCATTGTCGGAAACCCACACAAAACGCGCGCAGTAACAGCGATGTAAACGTCACATTGGCGGCGTCAGTCGCACAATGGACGAGGTCGAAGAGCCAGTAGAACAGAGGCAGCAGTGCACAGGGAAAAACACATTCGTGTTTTGGAAATTATTCTCCCGACGTGAAATATAAAAGAAAATAACAAATATAATATCGCCTGAAAACAACCTGCATAGGCTCATGATGTCTGCACTACTGTCCTATAGTGACCTGCCACATGAGGGGACACACACACAAACACACACAAACACACACAAACACACACACAAACACACACAAACACACACAAACACACACAAACAAACACACACAAACAAACAAACACAAACACACACCTTCATCATCGTCATTAACCTGAGAACGCGCGGACCACGTTTCCTTCCGTAGACACTGCGTGGACACCGACGTGCTGCCGTGAGCCGCGTGTGGATCGTGTTTTCTCGCTACGCTGCGTAAACTGCGCTTCCTCCTGTGCGCCTCTAAACCAGAACTAACACCAAGACTAAAACCAGGACTAATCCAGTCCAGGACTAAACCAGGTCTAAACCAGAACTAAAACCAGAACTAAAACCAGAACTAAAACCAGAACTAAAACCAGGTCTAAACCAGGTCTAAACCAGGACTAAACCAGGACTAAACCAGGTCTAAACCAGGACTAAACGAGGACTAAACCAGGACTAAACCAGAACTAAACCAGAACTAACACCAGGACTAAAACCAGGACTAACCCTTTCCAGGACTAAACTAGGACTAAACTAGGACTAAAGCAGGTCTAAACCAGGACTAAAACAAGGACTAAAACCAGTGATCTCATATATAAAGTATTTCTCTATCAATAATATTTTTAATATGGTTAAGGAAAGACTGGACTTTTTATTGTCTTTAAGTAGACAAAAGTTATTATGTTCAGATTTCCTCGTCTTTGCTACTTTACAGCAAACAGTTTCTTATTCATGGAGACTTGGGCTCAACAGCCAAATTGAAGAGATTTGTTAAACAATAAATGACTTTATAAAGTCATTTTTTAAAATCTATATCAGTCTTTTGATCTGCCACAATAATGTAATAATGAATTTAAATGAAAATACCTCAAATTGAAGACTTTTCTCAGCAATTTTTTCTCTCAATTTTTTTAATCGCATGACAGCACTAATATATAATATATATATATATATATATATATATATATATATATATATATATATATATATATATATATATATATATATATATATATATATATATATATATATATATATATATATATATAATACACAGTCAAGCCCAAATGTATTCATACCCCTGACAAATTTTTACTTAAAGTTACTTTTATTCAACCAGCAAGTTTTTTCTTGATTGAAAATGATACAGGCGTCTCCCAGAAGAAAATAAGATGATGTAGAGGCATCATTGTGGAAAAAAATATTTCTCAGCTTTTATTTAGATTTGAACAAAAAGTGTCATGTTCCAGAATTATTCATACGCTTCTCGATAATCAATAGAAAAGCCTTTATTGGCAATTACAGTAATCCAACGCTTCCTTTAATTGCTGACCAGTTTTTTAAATGTCTCCATTGATATTTTTGCCCAGTCATCTATAGCGGTGAGCTCCAAAGCTTTCAGATTGGAGGATCTTCTTGCCATCACCCTGATCTTTAGCTCCCTCCACAGATTCTCAGTTGGATTCCATTCAGGACTCTGGCTGAGCCACTGCAAAATGGTAATGTTATTGTCTAATAACCATTTCTTCACCACTTTTGCAGTGTGTTTTGGATCATTGTCATGCTGAAATGTCCACTGGTGCCCAAGTCCAAGTTCCTCTGCAGCTGCTTGATATTGTTGTTGAGAATCTTGATCTGTTGCTCTTTGTTCATGGTGCCGTTTACTGTGATTAGACTCCCTGCCTCACTGGCTGAAAAAACATCTCCAAAGCATTAGGTTCCCACCATCATGTTTGACAGTGGGATGTTGTTCTTAGGGTTGAAGGCTTCTCCTGTTTTACACCAAATCATCAATACATCATTGTGGCCAAACAGTTCCATTTTTGTTTGGTCTGACCATAAAACAAAAGTCTTCTTCTTTGTCCAGATGAGCATTTGCAAAGGCTAAACGGGCTTTTGTGTGTCTTATCTGGAGAAGTGGCATCCTTCTTGGTCTGCATCTGTGGAACCCAGCAGTATGTAGTGTCTGTTGGATTGTCTGTCTTGAGATGTTCCACCAGCAGAGCCCAGATTCACCTGGATGGCCTTGGTGGTGATCTGTGATTCTTTTTCACCTCTATCACTAAACTCCTGGCCAGCACAGTGTGGAACGTCTTGTATTTTGTAATAATTCTTTGCACTGTAGCCACTGGAACTTGAAAACATTTAGATATGACCTTACAGCCCTTTCCTGACTTATGAGAAGCCACAACACTCAGCCTTAGATCCTCAGAGAGCTCCTTTGTCTTAGCTATGACTGTTCACAAACCAACTGCAAAGACCTGCTGTTTTTCACCTGTTCAGTTGTTTGAAACAGCTCTTCCCAATGAATCAGGGGAATTAGGAAGTTTTAGAACAGTTTATGCTGTTTTGGAATGGTCTGACAGTTTACAAAGGGTATGAATAAATCTGGACAGGCCACTTTTTGTTCAAATGTAAATAAAAGATGAGAATTTTTTTTTTTCCCCACAATGATGCCTTTTGTACATCGTCTTATTTTCTTCTGGGAGACGCCTGTATCATTTCCAATGAAGAAACAACGTGCTGGTTGAATAAAAGTAACTTTAAGTCAAAATTTGTCAGGGGTATGAATAATTTTGGGCTTGACTGTAAATATTAAAACCCCTTTCTTTTGTTAAGGATTAATATAGATTACTGTGGGTAGTGGATGGTGTTTATGACAGGTGAGAGTACACTTCTCATTTAAAAGGTGATTATATTCAAGATTTAACCAATAATCTTGCCAAGATTACACTATTTCAACCATTTTTGTGAAGTTTATAATATTACTTCCTGGTTGGACACGGGCAGCAGATGTGACATACGTAGAGTTATTTAAATTACACAGTTATGATTAGACTCATAAAATTAAATGACAACACCTTTTATTTTGTTGAATGAAGGTTTAAATGGTCAGAAAAACACCTTCCTTGTGTGTAAATGATTGCATTTTGGATGGTATTTTCTGTGTTGATGACATTGTCAAATAGAATCTGTTATGCAACTCATATTACTTCCTGTATTTTTGTACTTTTCAACTTTTCTTTTTCTCCTCAAACTGCCAATGAACTGATGTAAAACTATGATAAATATTTACCACAGGTGCACCAAGCGTTCCCTCATCAAAACAGGCCTGAAGAGGTTTTAGATATCATCCATGCATGTTTGAGGAATGTAGTGATCTCTCACAGGCAGTCTTTGAACCCTTCTTTCAGTTGTGAGATTCTGCAATTCTCCAGTTCCCCACCCACAAGCCTCCGTCACCCATGCTCCCACTCAACAATTCTCCATTAAAAAAACTAAAAAACCATGATACACACACCAACTGGACAAGCCTGATGTGATGTGCAGTAATTTCATTAGTGGAAGTCATGTTGATTGTGTTGTGATAGAGCTCTGAAGGGGGAGTTAGTGTGCACAGAGAGCCAAAGGGAGGGAAAGAGACAGCAGAGTGCCAAAAAAAAAAAGTCAGACTTATTAAACTTGTTATGTTGTTTTAGGCAAAAAAGCATTTTCTAAATAATAAAAGGTAACATAGTGATCTAAATATGTTAAGTGTTACAGTTAATAACCCAGTCGAAGTCAAATGCCCCATTCAAACTAACCCAGCGTCTCACACTAATGAGGCTGTGCTGTCTGCTCTGTCCCAGGTCCCACCACTATGATGTCTGAAGGCACCCGCAACATCCTGGAGGTCATGAAGGAGCGAGGGATCCGCAAGGTGGTGGCCTGCATGTCAGGTGACCATCTACATGGGTGCTCTTTTTTAACATGGGTGCTGTCTCAAATATGGGTGCTCTTTCTAACATTGGTGCTGTCTCAAACATGGGTGCTGTCTCAAACATGGGTGCTGTCTCAAACATGGGTGCTGTCTCAAACATGGGTGCTGTCTCAAACATGGGTGCTGTCTCGAACATGGGTGCTCTTTCTAACATGAGTGTTGTATTCCAGCCTTCCTGCTGTGGGAGCGTTCCAAAGTGCCCCCTCGCCTGGTGCCTGTGACAGAGGACCACGAGCGCATGTACTCCCTGCTCCAGAGCTCTGGCCTGGATTATGTGGCCGTCATGCCCCCCCACATTGGAGGTCAGTGCCCCCATATCCCCAACACGCACACGCGCACGCACACGCACACGCACACGCACGCACACTCACGCACACGCACGCGCACGCACGCACACGCACATGCATGCACACACATGCACACTGCAGCATGTCTGACATGTAGTATAGGCAAAATAATTTTAGACTAGAAAGATCTAGTTGGGCTCAGAGGAAAGAGAGCCAGTACTTAATAACCACAACAGTAGAATGTTGTGCCCATACAGACCATGTATTGTGAAAATATACAAAATAAGAGTAAGTACAATATTTACAATGTGCACCTTTCATTTCATTTGTTATGCTGTATTTAATAAGAGTTTCACAGTTCCACACACTTGTTCCGCACAGAAAATGACACAATGCTCTGTTTGGAGTCCAGATTATTGGCAGAGGAGAGCGGAGCGGAGTTTGTTGAGGCGCATTGGAATAGGTGGAGCAAATGTGTGAGTTGGCCTCAGAGCAGGGGTCAGCTGGACGGCTACAGTTCAGACCTGGCTGTCCAGTACCATCCAGCTGGCCTGTACAAAACATTCCAGTTTCAGAATTCTGCACATTTATTGCAATAAATAAACTAGTTTTAGATGTACATCACAGCAGTACCATAAGAAATCATAAAGGCCCAGGATTAATACTTTACACTATTCAAATAAGACAAAAGTGTGGGCCTTGTGTACAACTTTTCAGAGACATGGCTCAGAGGTGAGGAGAGCAGCGAGGAGCCACGAGGGGAGAGTTTGAGGAAGCCATGTTTGGTGAAAGTTTAAAACTGTTCATTTTTACTTTTATTTTCCCAGAAAAAGACGCAGAATCTAACTAAGCTGTGGGCACTTAGCCACACATGTGTAGGAAACATGTGAAACATACTGCGATCATTGAAGTTGGTGAAGTTGGTGCAAAGTCATGACATATATAAACAGCCCCTTCCTGGTGTGAAACACTCTCCAAAAACAACTGTCGTTTCAATAAAGCATTTATGATTAGATGACAGGATAACTCTCTGTGTTAAAATGTTTCAAAGAATCAGAGTTCACTTTTTCTCTACAGTAAAGTTCCACAAGCCTGTGTCCTGCTAGTACATCCCCCCCTCCTTACTTCTGTGTCAATCAAACCTGCTCATTATTGGCTCATGTTTAGGTAAATGTCATTCAGAATGCACTTTGCATTGTCCTTTTATGGTGAAATGGAGGTGTTAAAGGGGTGCTGAGATGGGATCTTGTGGAGGTTTTTGCTGCAGGTGTGATCGATAAAGAGGGAAACACTGTTAATCATACGTCAGTCCTTGAACAAAGTGATTTGCTGCTGTTACTCCAAGTGAAATCTTACAGGTTTATGTTTAGAAACCTCCACATGTCAATAACACTTAATTGGTTAATAGTATAAATTGTAGATTTGAAACTGGATGATTAATTTATTTAGGATGTCTATACAATTGATTATCATAAGCATCATTGTAATCCCCTCCAATGGTAATGTACGAGTTTGGGTATCATAAAAGATGTAGGTATACACACACCACTGGTGCAAAGCTACTACAGTCAACACAGAAAGTGAGATAAAGCCTGCACACTTCTCCTAAACTGCATTTAATGAATGACAATTAATTCATTCACTTTCAGAGTTCTGAAAACATTATTTTTGTTAAAGCCAAATTGAGTCATCCCGTTTAATAATTAGAATGACCCACTTGCTTTCATCAGATGTTTAGGACTCAAATTATATGACCCTGGAATGAGTTAATGAGAATAGCGACCCCTGCTGGTGGGTTAATCCCATGACAGAAAAAACATTGATCTCCTCATTGAGCTTTCCACAGTTTTACATCAGTGTCCACGGAGTGAGTCTCATCTCATTTGTTGTGATGACATTTACGTTGACGTCAGTTCCCACCGGGCACCGTAGTTTTCCAACACGGAAGTCTTTAACGTGCTGTAGATATTTGCAAATGTAGGTTTTCAGTCACAATAACAAGACAATTGTGAGATGTATCCATGTGCTTGTGTCTCTGCAGACGAGCTACCCCTGACCGCCAGCTACCAGGCCGCTGAGAAGATGCTGCGGGGACGGGCCATTTCCAAACATGACCTGGGACACTTCTTTGTCCAGTGTTTGTCCACCACCTCATGGGATGGCAAGACTGTGGGGGTGTGGGGGGAGTACGCCAAGTGAGCCCCCAGGTAGCCATGCAGGGACAGGACTGTGCTAATGCTACTGTGAGGTTAAAGGACAAGTATTGTGGGAAATTTTCTTTTATCATTATGTTATCATTTAAACCCATTACATCTAATAAACTCCAAAAAAGGGTGATGTGCAGTGGTGGAAGAAGTACTGAATTTTGTAACTCAAGTAAAAGTATTTTCCACTTCCAGAGTCAAAAGTCAAAGATACTGAATAACTATTAAAGGTAAGTGAAATGTGCCGATATTGATAAAGAATTGTCCTGATTTTTTCTCTATCAGTTTTATATTTGCTCAGAGCTGGAACTTGAACCCAAAACCAAGGATGTCACAGTGAATGTGCTGAAAAATAACCCCTCAAACCTTTTACTTTTCAGTCCATATAAAAAATGTAGTGTAGTAAGTACAAATAAATAAATGTAGTGAAGTAAAAGTATTCATTGTGTAGGGCCCATATTGTGCTATTTTCTGATCTATGTTATAATGCTGTTTCCTCATCACAGATATACCTGCAGTTATGTTTTGTTTCAATCACACATGTTTAACACACAAAAACTGCACATTTAGGCTGAGTTCTTCTCTCAAACTGAAAACCCTCAAGAAGTGCTCCACTGTGATTTTAAGATCCATATGCCTTCATGAGAATCATCTGGATGATTTCAGACCTGGATGTGTCAATCTCTACTGAACTAAAGATAAATGGTAGTTCTTAACTTGAAAACTACCAATTCATGACATCACAAAGTGGAATATGGCATTTTGAGCTCTTTGGAGCAACTGCAGATATGTTATTGAAGAAGTAACAACACTATAACACTTAAAGTTCACGATAATTAAATTTTAGGACCATTAAGTACAATACTTTTACTTTTGTACTTTCCACCACTGCTCCTGTGTGTTTTAAAGTACAGCCTGTTCGGAGCTGAGCAGGCTGTATGCCAAGTTAGAAAAAGTGATCTACTGATACATAATATGTCTTGTTAGGATGAAGTGCTTTGATTGCCTTAAGAAAAGTGTTTTTAGCATGTGTGCTGTGTTTAAACTGACATGAAAAGTTTTCTTCAAATTATGTCTTCTCAAATAACCGAGACTAAGTGTAATATATGGACATTTTATACATCTTTATTAGACAATTTTATCAGTCTGTATGAGCTGAATAAATTCTTTACACCACAAGTCCTGCATCTGCTTTATTTCACCGAATCCTTTAGATCAGAACCACAGAAAGTAAAGGGAAAGGTGGTTAGAGTTGCCAAAAAAGTACTAGAGTAAAAAAGAAAGATGCTTTATTGATCACGAGGGAAATTCAAGTTTTACAACGTTAACAATGTGCTTCTCAGTGTCTTTTGTGTCTCAAAAGTCTCAGGTCAGTTTAACAGAAGGACGAGTCAGGGCAGTTTGAGGAGAAGAAGAGTGAAAAAGTGTCCCCAGGAAAGGTCAGCCTTAGGCTCCGCACTACACAGTCATCCTCTTCCTAAAAAAACATCACACTTACAGCCCATTTTCCGTGGTGTTGCTCTATTGATCTGGCCTTTTCCGCACCCCCGGGAGCAAGCACAAAGTGCACCTTAAACTGTAGGTCTGAATTAGCTTTGGTCAAACACAGGATTATTTCTGTCATGGAATGAGTTGAGATTTAAGATGGAGATGGAGCTAGTTTCAGCTCAGGATTTCAGGAAAAGCCTGGACATTTCTGACAAAACACATGGAAATAGACAGGATACAACAGGACAAGACAAACTGGACAGGACAAGATGCACCGGAAGTCCTTGCATTCACTGTAAACCCAAATGATCAAAGTAATTAAATAGATTAAGTTGTAATAATCCCACTAACGTAATTATGTCAAGTTGTAGTTGCTGTAACATGACTAATCTCTAGGTTGATTCTGAATTCCTTCGACCATTTTAGATTTGAAACCCAAAACCCCAGCATTACAACTGTTAATAATAAAAACATTGGGCATGATAACCAAGTGGTTTAATTATAATTTGATGTTTTGGCCAAAAAGGAAAATGAGGCTCACGAGTGTCTCGTTTGGGCCAGTTTCAGTGCTGAAATCAGTGGTGGAAGTATTTCATTTAGTTACTTAAGTAAAAGTATAGATACTGGGGCAAAAAAGACTAAAGTAAACATACAAGTACTACATGAACAATATACTTAAGTAAAAGTATTAAAGTATCCTTTGAAAAATGTACTTAAAGAGCAAAGATTTTTGCATAGTATTTCACACAAATTTTGAGGTCTAATAAACCTAGTACTGATTTCGCTAATGGTGCTGAATTTTGTTCTTCAGAAAGTACTGAATTGTTTTTTTTTTCCTTAGGAGTTTTATTTGTATATTTTTGTTCAAAATAAACTCCTCAGCCTGAGCAGGCCTCGGACAATAATAAAAAAAATACTTTTACTTTTCAATCCTGTGCAAAAATGTAGTGGTGTAGAAAGTACAGATATCCGCTTTGGTAAACATTTTTGTACTGAAGAAAAAAGTCCTCAAGAGGTGGATACAGAAATTTAAAACGTATGCTTACATACAGTACTACTTCTACTTTGTTACATTCCACCACTGGTTGCAACCAAAAATGTCTCTCTGATCTGAACAGTCACTCCCTAAACCTCAGCAGCTGCACCAGTCATGAGTCAGTGCTAGTGCAGCCTCGGAGAGTGACCTGCTGTGATGTGAACAGAAACCACACAGGACTCAGTCTCCCTTTAACACATGACAACGAACAGGTTTATTGACCAGACAACCCACTGAACAACAGTGAACGCGTTTGTACAGGTGATAAGTGTAGTGACGGCACCTCCACAAGCAGCAACTAAGCACATTTCCACAAGCAGTCTATTTTACTGTCTCCAAGTGTCCCACCAGACCTGCCTCTGTGAGGGAGGGCTCTGACCAGGAGAGGGCGGTCAGCCCTTGAGGATAGTGTTGTAGGAGGGGTGGGTGGTGTTGGCGGGGCTGGCAATCTTGTCTGTGGGTTCTGACTGGTTCTTCCCCTGATTCTCCACGATGGGACGCTGCTCGTCGTCTGGGCTGCTCTCCTGACATCGCGGCAGCTGCAGGAGTGTGGTCAGACCATGCACGTCGGCCATTTTGTGGACTGCCCGCAGCAACAGGAACATCATCATGAGGCCCAGGAACAGGTAGACTGCAAGAAGAGACCGGGCCTGTTAATAGTATCTAAAATCAGATACTAATCAATACTAAAACAATGTGAAACTAGAAACAAATATGAGCAAATATCAATATAAAAAAAATGTCACATTGACAGGACAGAAATTAACCTTTACTGAACAGTTTTAGAATGATGTTGAGCTGCATCAGAAAAAGTAGAAGAGCACACAGACTAGTATACACACATGGACACTATGAACCTACTGGACCACTGAGGATTACACACAAAGACACATGGGAATAGAAAAGAAAGTACGACCATTTAATGCTGAAAATCACATTCTATTGTTTAAAGAAAGAGTGCTTTTTAATTATCATCGTGGTATCAGAATCAGTATTGTGGTAACGGTATATGAGTATGAGTTTTTCTCTTCCAGCAGTAGTGTTGTCACATTATAGAAATTTCATATTCCATTTCGATATAAAGAACAGACTCAATACTGAATACTGATGTTGAAATAACAACAATAAAAAAAAAAACACTTCCTTTAGATCTTATTTTAAGGGTAATTTCTGTCCCCTTTTTAATATTGATACCTGCTTAAATGAGTATCTAGTTTTGATAGTGGTTTGTAGTATCAATTAGTAACTGTATCTAGTTTTCAATACAAGCCTAGGTAGAACAGGTGCAATGAAGGAGGACACAGCGGTTAGACAAGCACAGGCACGGACTCTGTGGGCCCAACATTGGCGGGTTTGTGCATCTTACTTATACTTTGAATACTTGCTTCTTTGCCTATACATATAAGAGGAAATATGTTATGGAAAACGTTAATGAAGCCCTACCAACAGTTGAAAGTACATAGGGGATTTATTCCTTTTCAAATTCAACATTCAACAACAGATGTAGTTGCCTTTTTTGAGGACCCTATGATAAACATGATCATTTTACAACATTGATGAGGCCAGGGAATGCACTTCCCCTGTGACTTCTGATGCTTCTGACTTGCATGTATGCTCCACCAACACTCACACACTTACACACTCCATTCATACTAGGCACTATGTCAAAGTGTCTTGTCTAAGGACACAACAACAGTCTCCACTAGAGCCACTGATGCCCCGCTGTGGCACCTGGTGTCCCCAGCAGTCTCCTACCCAAGTACTAACCAGGCCGAGCCTGCTTTAAGGCTGTTCACTCAGCAAAAACAGACCTGGAGTTGTGTTTTGTTTCATTCACACATGTTTGAGAAATCCTTTATTATGTGTTGGTCAAAAAATAATTTGTTCCACCTTGTGATGTCATGAAGTGGTATTTTTTTAAAGTTAACAGCTACATTTGACCTTTTGTTCAATACAGATAGGCAATTCCAGAGCTGAAATTATCCAAGTGATTCTAGTGAAGGTGTATTCAAGTTTAAAAACACAGTGGAGCACTTCCTGTATTACCACATGACATCACAAGGCAGAACAGAGTGTTTTCTGTGTGAGAGATGAACTAAATATGCAGGGTTTGTGTGTGTGAATGAAACAAAACAACTCCAGGTGTGTTTGTGATGAAGAAACATTATAACATAGAGCAAAAAAATACTGCAATATGGGTCCTTCAACTTCCAAGAGCTGAAGAGACTGGGCACTGACAAGTAGGTCACGTAATACCATGGCACTATAAATATTAAATACTACTCCTATAAAAAGAGTTATGAAAAAATAAAAACTAATTGTAGAATGTGAATGAAGAAGAATCTGAATCTCTGCATCACATCTGCCCCCAGTGTTGGGAAGGTTACTTTTAAAAGTAACCTTCCCCTACAGATTACAGATTACATACCCCAAAATGTACTTTGTAACGTAATCCATTAAGGTACTTAAGGTGAGTAACATCATCTGAATACTTTGGATTACTTGGTTTGCTGTAAAGAAGCAAAGACCAGGATATCTTCACATAAGTTTTGTTTGATAAAAGAAAATAAAAAGCCCAGACTTTCTTAAACCAAATTAAAAAATATTATTGATAGAAGACGAGGAGACGCGGTCCACACAGCATGGTTTAGTCCCGTTAAATCCTGGTTTAGTCCTGGTTTAGTCCTGGTTTAGTCCCGTTAAATCCTGGTTTAGTCCTGGTTTAGTCCTGGTTTAGTCCTGGTTTAGACCTGGTTTAGACCTGGTTTAGACCTGGTTTAGACCTGGTTTAGTCCTAGTTTTAGACATTGTTTAGACCTGGTTTTAGACCTGGCATTAATTCTGGTTTAGTCCTGGTTTAGACCTAGTTTAGACCTGGTTTTAGACCTGGTTTTAGACCTGGTTTTAGACCTGGTTTTAGACCTGGTTTAGACCTAGTTTAGACCTAGTTTAGACCTAGTTTAGACCTGGTTTTAGACCTGGTTTAGACCTAGTTTAGACCTGGTTTTAGACCTGGTTTAGACCTAGTTTAGACCTGGTTTTAGACCTGGTTATAGACCTGATTTAGACCTAATATCCGACAATGAGTGGAATTACGGAAAAAAGGGGGATATAGCCCAAAATGTAAAAACAGGAAAATCTCGCCGTGTAATCAATTCAACAAAGTAACTGTAATCTAATTACCACTCACTGAAACATTAACTGTAACTGAATACAGTTACTCATAATTTGTACTCTGATTACGTAAATCCGGTACATGTAATCTATTATTCCCCAACACTGTCTGCCCCACACACTAGTTTCTTACCCCTTGCACTACAGACCTCAGTGACCTGTAGGAGCAACACTGTGGAATAATGCACCAACAGCAGAGGGGGCTGTTGTTCCACAGGAACATACAGCTGGGGCTGCATTGTCCTGTCAGATCTTAAGAAATGGGCCTTGCGAGATCACTGGAGCCTAATCTCCTCACGTGTGCAGTCCAGTGGCCCACTTCAGCCTGCCCAGGTCAGAGGAGGTCCAGTGGAGAAGGACCACAACAGTGCTGGAGATATCATCTGTTATTACAACTCAAATTTAAAGGCTGTACAAGATGTTTACGGTCTTAAAAATGTGAAAAACAAAGTTAGTTCATTTGCATTTCAGATTATTCTAATTATTCACCACGAGAGAGAGATGAGTTCATAAATGCTTTTCACAACTCTCAGAGACCAGCACGAAGTTTTGCAGTCACTGTTAAGCTAAGCAAAAACTAGCATTATTTGATGAAGACAGCACACAGCAGTCTTTTTTATTTTTATTTTTTTATCTCAAGACTTGCTTATACATTATATGTGTACTGGGGCAAGACAGTTTACTTAGATACATGTGGAAAATAGCAGGTAGAGGGACTTATCAGCATAAGAATAAACAAGCTAGTCAGCTGATGATTGAAACCCAGATGTTTCAAAGGAGACCAAAGAAGGGGGGCATACTCACTATCCCTCCTCTGTACAACTCTTCCTCCTCTGTATCATATATTCATGCTCTCTCCTGCACCACTGTTTCTCCTCTGCACCATATATTCTCCCTCTCTCTCCTGCACACATGTTTAAATAAAGATGACTCATTCATCCTGGTCTTTATAGACTGTAAACAAAGCTGATGTTTGGAACAGCCAAGCCTATGCTTAACCAACACCTGGCTCAGTCTTTTTTGGATCCTGGATCCTGGTTCCAGGTCATTGTTCCGGGTCATTGTTCCGGGACATGGCTCTGGGACATGGCTCTGGGACATGGCTCTGGGACATGGCTCTGGGACATAGTTCTGGGTCAGATGAGGAGCTGTAGTTGTTGTGCTGTATTTCACACAGAGCTGCGAGGCCTAGGCGGGTCACATGACTGCTCACATGACAAACTGCTGCACAGACTGCTGCTGTGATCCTGTAGCAGACACACTGAGCTCACAGAAGTATTACCTTTTATTATTCTTTATTTAAGCACAAGTCCCACACACACTGTGGGGTGCCCATTGATTCCCATGCTTCGAAAACTCTGACATTCTTTCACCATAATCATTACGGGGCTTTTTTTTTTTATATGCTTCAAAACTGACAAGCTACTAAGACCACTAGTGGACATACTTCCACCCCATCCATGCTCTGTGGTGGTCACTACTTGTATAGCCACAGCTGTCCTGGGGCAGAGTGAAGGCTTCCAATCTGCACCATCTGCACCACCAATCACACGCCACGTTCATACACAACCACAGTATGCACTGCCCTGAGCTGGGATCAAAACTATGAGCTTCTGGTTAAAACCTCTTTTACCCCCCGCTATAGACTCACCCATCACAGACACCTGGTACAGTGGCTTGTTCCTCTGACCTGGCTGCAGTGCTGGGACATAGTCCCCCAGGCCGATAGTGCACAGGGAGATAAAGCAGAAGTAAACTCCATCTAGAAAGGACCAGGAGCCCTCCAGCCAGCTGAAGAGGGCCGCGGGCCCCATGAAGAAGCAGAGCAGTAGCAGCAGGATCAGCAACAGCAGGTGCAGAGCGCAGGCCGCTCGGGGCTCCAGACCCCAGCCATGGAGCAGAGCTACAGGCCCCACCACCAGAGGGAAGAGCAGCTTCTGCACACAGGCTGTCAGCACCAGCATGGTGAAGGGTACACCCAGTAGAGCGTACAGGATGGAAAAGGCCTTCCCCAGGTCTGACAGAGGGGTGCTGTGACCGTACCCTGTGGAGACATGAACAACATGAGGCGGAAGTCCAGGGACATAACACAGCACTATCCTGAGTGTCCTGTGTAGTACTGTACAGTGTACATCCTGTGTAATAGTACTGTGTCAGCGCTACTGCAGTGTTCCTCCATTCTAGCTTCACAAAAAACACTTAGTTTGAGTCATTGTTTCAACATTAGTCATGATTTATTTAGAACACTGACCATTTTGACTGAGACAGAGACACTAGACTTAGGCCCACATGTAGCCTGCACTACAGATGTCACACTAGATAAGATTTGCTATAACTGTAGTGAAGAGTGTTTGTGGAGAGTGACAGTGTTTGTGGAGAGTGTAAGTGAAGAGTGGAGAGTGTGAGTGGAGAGTGTGAGTGGAGAGTGTGAGTGGAGAGTGTGAGTGGAGAGTGTGAGTGGAGAGTGTGAGTGGAGAGTGTGAGTGGAGAGTGTGAGTGGAGAGTGTGAGTGGAGAGTAGAGAGGTGCCAGGGATGTGTGAAAAGTAAGCAGTGGCTCATAGTTCTAAAGAGGATTCTTCACAGGCTGCAGTGCAGACCCATACCAGGCCTCTAATGCTGCAGTGTCAGGAAAAGCAAAAACTTTTGGCCTTTCTACCTTTGGCATTGATTTCATATTATATAAGTATGTTTCTATTGTTAAATAAATAAAGTTGCATATTGCATGAATTATCTCCTGTTGTGTAATTTAACTTATTTAACCCTTCACCATCTGACTGTCCAGCTGAAGTGATGGTTTGACCTCCTCTGAGCTGTGGTCATCTTTAGACCTCACTCAGCCCTGGGCCAGTGGATGTGGAATGCTCTCAGATACAGTAGCTCCCAGTTAAGTGTTGGTACACGACTCCTCTGCAGCCTTGGGTCCCAGATGCAGTCTCCTCATAGACCTCTGCTCTTGTGGCCAGGACTCACAACTGGACTTCAGAGTGTGTACTTTTACTTTGACTTAAATGTAGTTATTTTTATTGAGCTGATTCTATACTAATGCCACACCACAGAGCAGAGGTGTCCACACTGTGAGTCATTCATATTGGTGTATTTAACACAGCTTTGATAGAGCCACTGTACCTTTTATAAGAATGGGAACATTATTTTTAAGTCTGTATTACAATGCAATGTGGTGTTATTCAGGTTATAGAGGTAAAATTATTTCTATTTAACAATAATAAAAAGTACTTTGTGTGATCAACTGGATCACTATAGCAGAAGGCACCACTGTCATAGAGACTGTTAGGCCTAGTAGTATCAGCAGCCTCCTCTGGCCCACACACTTCATCTGTGTGTTCTCTTCATGTATTTATCACAGTGCTACAGCCTCCTGCTTTTACAGTGAATGTAGTATGCCACAGTGAGTAGTAGACATCTGCACTGTCCAGACTGAGCTCTAACTTAGACTAAACTGGACTTGAACAGTGGCTCTTTTTGTTCGTTTATTGTCTTAACAGTGATACTGCCCTATGAACAAACAGACAGGTCCTCCCCCAGAGCAGCTCACACTGAACACAATCAGTTAAAGCATTGAATCATCTGCACATGATCCACACCACCAAACATCACAGCGTGCGCGTACCCGGGCCAAAAACGAACCATCATCGGAGAGGACCTGAGTCTCCCTCAACCAAAGGACTTATTTTCAAAACAACAAAACGAGGCACCATGTCCACCAGAAAAACACCCAAACTGTGCAGGGAGCAGTACACAAAGTTCAGAGTACGTGGTGCCAACTCACCGCTGCGCCCTCCGTGTGAGGTGTGTGGATGAGATTTGGCCCGGAGCAGAGGAGCCCCCGGTGACCCTGTCATCTCAACGATGACCCCCCACTACCACATGTGTGTGTCTGCTCCCGTGTCTGTGTGCGCTCACGGTGCACTTACCCACGGTGGTGACCAGAGTGTTGGCATAGAACATGGAGGAGGTCAGATCCCAGTTGGAGGGCTGAGAGGAGTTCCGTAGCACGGACACACCTGAGCGGTGCGCCTGCAACACCCGAGCCAAAAAGAGGTCCAGGTCCGCGGCGCTGGCGCAGCTGTGATTAAGGAACTCCTGTCTGAGGGTGTCCAGCTCGTGTCTCAGCCGCTCCTCCTCAGGCCGCTCGATGGTAGAAAAGACCAGGCCTCCGAACAGCAGGTAGATGATGTAGAAGACGACGAACCCGGTCAACAGCAGCCACGACCTGCCCGCGGAGCGCATGGTGCTTCACGGACAAACTCCAACGCTGTGCTTCCCACTTGCACTGCTCTCTCAACACCGGGGAGCGGGGGCTGGCCTTTGCACCGAGGCCCTCCTCAACGAGCACGAGAGGTGTGTCCTTCTCCCGGTGACGTTAAAGCGCTGTCCAGCAGACCTAAAACAAACTATAGGAGAAGGTGTGTGCAGGACGACTAGGGGCTGAAGGAAACCTCAAGTTACAGGTCGGTAGTACGACGCCCGTGAAAGCAGAGCACTGGCGTCCGCACTCCTGCTCTGATTCTGCTCGGTTCAGTCTCTAGCATCGTTATCTAATAGTCAGTAAAGTTATGAGGGACTTTTAGAGGCTACACTTGCTAGATGTGGGTGACAGCAGTGCGATGTGGTTCCCGAAGGGCCCCCTGATGCTCCAGGAGCGCACGCAGCGGAGCCTCTGAAGTCCCCTGCACTGGGGGACAATGCTCCTCTTTGTCCGGCTCCAAAAGCACTTGACTCCTCTCTCCACACACAAAGCAGGCCAGTTCAGCTAGAACGGTTCATAGGAGAGACTCTCTGGAGCCTTCTCATTTGGTTCAGTAGCGAGTTATGTAAGCCGGAGGGAAAAGAGGAGTTGCTATAGGCGACATTTCCATTTTAGCGTTCAAAGGTTTTGAATAAACCTGCATACAATCAAACGATGGTTTTCTGATTCCGAATAGTGAAGACGTCATGAGTGTCCAACGGTGTGAAGAGCCAAGGCACAGACTTCTCTAACGTGATATTTTCATAAGAATTAGGCCTATGCAAAAGAAAATCAACAAATGTTTAACTAGGCCTATTAATCACTCCCACGTTTGTGTTCATAGTTTTTCAGCTGTCAGTCAAATGTGTCATATTAAGTGGTGTTCCAAAGAAAACCACAGAAAGAAGGAATAAACAAGAGGGAGGCTTCAGGAGGCAGACATCCGATAAAACAATCAAACCTTATTGGTCTCCGTGGGGAGTTTATATTCTCTCTACTTCCTGTGTCTCCTCTGCAGGTGGGACTTCCTCACCCATTTCCTGCAGAATTGAGAATCAAGGAGAAGGAAGCGGGGAAAGAGAAATGAGATGAGCCCAGTGTTTTCCATGAATAACCTATGATGGGCCCGCAAGGTCTAAAAGTGTCTCTCTTAGATTCAAACCAACCTCGACTATGTACTGTCAGGACAACATTCAATCTTCTTGCTCACTGTATTATCATAAACTTATAACACTATAACCTCTTACACTGGTGAAAAATGACTGATTAAAGATGGACATTATGACTGTACATACTCCACAACTTACATGAGATGAAATTTAAAGGTCCTATATTACACAAGTGTGACTCTTGTGAGCTTTAGCCATGTGAAAATGTTGTTATCGCCTCAAAAACACTTGAAGTTGTGTTTTGTTTCATTCACACACGTTTGAGTAACTCTTTATTATTAGTCTCTGGAGCTCAAAATACTCTCTGCTTTCTTGTTTTGAAATGAACAGCTCCTTTTACAATTCCAGGGCTGAAATCATCCAAATGTGAAGGTATATGGAGTTTAAATACACAGTGGAGTGTTTTCTGTTTAAGAGAAGAACTCGGCCAGAGTAGTAGCAGTAAAAACATTGGAATAAGAAACTGTGGTGGATACCTCTGCCACCACTCCATAGTGTCAGTATTATTTAATTTTCATTATTATTTACATTAAGTTAATTACACTACACATAATTTAATTCCGTTAATTAGACTTATGTTCTAATTTGAGTGCACGCATTTTAGTTAATATAAGTGTAATTTACTTACACTTGGTCTTTTTGTTTTTTTGAGCATCGGACGGAGGACCCTGGGAGAGACCATCAGGACTCAGCAAAGGGGGGGAGCACTATTTAGTTTGTTTTACTAAGTTAATTTGTTTAGTTTGTGTTAAGGTCACATTATTATCACTTATTATTTTCTGTATTATAATTATTTGCTTTTTTGTTTACTTTGATTAAGTTATTGGTTTAGTTAGTTAATTAGTGTAATTCCTCCCTCTTGTGTTTAGCTTTAGTTGGTCCTCAGGTATTTAAACACACCTGTTCCTTTGTCTGCTTGGGTTAGTTTTGTTCTGTTCAGTTTGATTTTGAGTTACCCCAGTTGGGCCCAGCTTTTTTGTTAATAATTTGCCTAATTTGAGCCTTTGTTAAATTATATCTTTTTTGGGCTTTATTAAATTTTAACTTATTTTTATACCTTGTCTTTGCCTTTCTGTTTGGTCCACCACAGAAACACTAAACTCTTATTTATCTCAGGTAAAAAAGTGATATATTTTTGTAGTGACTCACACCAGAATATTCTTGAGTGATGCATGTTATAAATGTGCGGCTGTGGGTGAACAGGGTCAGCTCAATGTTCCCCTGTGTGTTAGACAGTGTTGGGGAGTAACAGATTACATGTACCCGAGTTATGTAATCAGAGTATAAATTGAGTGACTGTATTCAGTTACAGTTACTGTTTCAGTGAGTGGTAATTGGATTACAGTTACTTTGTTGAAATAAATGGATTACATGGTGGTATTTTCCTGTTTTCACATTTTTGGCTAAATCCCCCCCCTTTTTTTCTTGGTAATTCCACTTAATGCCGGACACTAAACCAGGACTAAACCAGGTCTAAACCAGGTCTAAACCAGGACTAAACCAGGTCTAAACCAGGACTAAACCAGGTCTAAACCAGGACTAAACCAGGTCTAAACCAGGTCTAAACCAGGTCTAAACCAGGTAAACCAGGACTAAACCAGGACTAAACCAGGTCTAAACCAGGACTAAACCAGGTCTAAACCAGGACTAAACCAGGTCTAAACCAGGACTAAACCAGGTCTAAACCAGGACTAAACCAGATCTAAACCAGGTCTAAATCAGGTCTAAATCAGGTCCAAACCAGGTCTAAACCAGGACTAAACCAGGCCTAATCCAGGACTAAACCAGGTCTAAACCAGGAATAAACCAGGTCTAATCCAGGTATAAACCAGGAATAAACCAGGTCTAATCCAGGTATAAACCAGGACTAAACCAGGTCTAATCAAGGTCTAATCCAGGACTAAACCAGGACTAATCCAGGTCTAAACCAGGACTAAACCAGGCCTAATCCAGGACTAAACCAGGTCTAAACCAGGTCTAATCCAGGTCTAAACCAGGTCTAATCAAGGTCTAATCCAGGACTAAACCAGGACTAATCCAGGTCTAAACCAGGACTAAACCAGGTCTAATCCAGGACTAAACCAGGTCTAAACCAGGACTAATCCAGGTCGATTTTTGTCACGTGATTAGTGCAATGGCGTGTTGAAGACGCTCCCAACACTCTAACCCTTAAAGTATAACTTGTGCCTCTCATTAGACCTTTTTAATTGGGGCATTTTACCCTCTACATACTGGTCACTCGCTTGTATGTACCAAACTGCAAGGTGCCGAACAACAAGAGCCACGGCGACGAAAGACGAGCGACGCCACTTACTCGAACAAACAATGGCTAATGAGGATACACCTGGATGGGCCCAATTACTCCTCGCGGAGGTGGCCGATCTGAAAAGCTCAGTTGAGCAACGACTCGATGCCCTCAATAACACAGTGAAAGACATTAAAAAGGAGACGCGTGCCATTGTAAATCGTATCTCAAATGCAGAAAAACGCATTAGCGATTTGGAGGATGGGAATGCAACAACCAGGGAGACGCTAAGCTCCCTCACTGAAGAAATGAAAAAACTCCAAACTAAGTGTACTAATTTGGAAGCACAAAGTAAAAGGAATAATTTAGTCATTCGTGGATTGGAAGAGGGTCTAGAAAGTGGAGACCCAGACAAAACGGTTCGGGACATACTGAAATATATTTTGGAACTTAAAGATGACGACCCGGTACCGGAGGTGGAGCGGCATCATCGGAGCTCGCGTCCTCGTCCGACACCACCGGACCCACCGCGCCCTTATCTGGTACGTATGCTGAGATGGAAGGACCGACAGAAGATTCTTAATGCAGTGGCTAAGAGAAAACAGGTCGTCTGGGGCGGCAGAAACTTTCAGATCCACCCAGATTTACCCGTGGAGATTCGAAAGAAGCGCACGGAATATGGTGACATCCAGTGTTGTGCAAGTTCACACTTTTCATGAACTAGTTCAAAGTTCAGTTCACACTTGTTCAAAGTGAATAGTTCACGTTCATAGTTCACAATTTTAATTTTGAACTAGTTCAAAGTTCAGTTCATTTTATATTTAGATGAGATCTGTAAATGAAAGGCTGCATTTATTTTTCAAACTGACTTCTAGTTTACAACAACTTTACAAGATACACTGTTGGACAAGTGACTTTAACACTGTAATGTGTTATTTATGACTTGTTACTGTCATTTCAAAGTCATTTGTTACATTACAATATTACTGTATTTAAAATGTAAAACATTATATGACTATTGCAGCACTTTTAATTTACTCTCACCAAAAGAACTGTTAAGATGCTGAACTTTTGCGCCGTATATGGACTGAACCAGGACTAAACCAGAACTGAACCAGGACTGAACCATGTCTAAACCAGGAATAAACCAAGACTAAACCAGGACTGAACCAGAATTGAACCAGGTCTAAACCAGGTCTAAACCAGAACTGAACCAGGACTAAACCAGGACTAAACCAAGACTAAACCAGGACCAAACCAGGACTAATCCTGGACTAGAACTTGGAATCTAGAACCGCCCCTGAGAGAACCCCGAGTGCGATCGGGCGTCAGCTGCGTTTAGCTCCGTGGAGCGTGGACTTCTGCGTCGGTCCTTTCGCTCAGGATCACGGTCTACGCGGGCGCACCTCCGGCGTTTCACCGCTGCTGATTTCGCGGTGATTTTAGCAAATTTGTATGAAGAAAAACGAAAAACCCACCATTTCAGTCCAGGTTAAAAAAGCATTGTGACGCGCGTTACTGACATATGTGCGTGTAGATTTCAGAAAATAGGATCCATCCTATTTTCTGAAATCTACAGTCCCTGACAAAAGTCTTGTCGCATATCCATTTTGTAGAAGCAAAAGCTTATAACCTGACTTTAAATTAATCGATTGGTTT